ATATTAGATAGTACCAGGGTACGTTCCGGTATACCGGACCGTACCCAGGGTACGTTCCGGCAGTACCCCGGGGGACATAGACCCTCTCAGCATCACTAGCCACAGTTGCTCACTTGGTTCATAAACCTCTCTAACGATCACTGTAATGTTTTTTTGTTTTTCTAGAACAGCTATGAAAAGTCCACCCCCTGTTCTTTCCTTTCTACCTACTCCATACATTGTGTAACCCAAGTTCAAGTTCAAGTAATCTTGATTTAAAGTCGGTATGTTTACAACGACTGAGCAACAAAAGCTCTGGTGAGCTTTTAAGACCGACCAACTAACATAAGTAGACCAATAATTAAAACAGTACATAACAATTTTAAAACATGCATACTATACAGGCATTCGAGTACATGAATAAATTATAAGTATAATACATGGATATTTAAAATTTATAGCAAACAAATACAGACGTTACAAAATTTACTAAAAACATACTGCAAATTAAAGATCATTTGCACATTGCACATTTGCATGCAAAACCATTCCATGTTTTGATAAACATTTTAAACTCGTTAAAACATAGTCTGTCTGGCATTTTCTGGCAGACTGTTCCACACTTTTGCAGCTAATGTTCTAAAACTATTTGTGCCATATGTCACAGTTCTAGTATTTGGTGTGGTTAAGACATTTTTGTATTTAAAGAAGTAAAGAACTTAAATAAACTGGGCACTGTCCGTGAATAATTTTAAAAGTCTCTGTGGCAATGTTTCGGAGACGCCCAAGGTCAGGGAATATGTTTTATTTTTATGTAAAAGCTCCTCATATGAGCTGTCATGTTCCTGGTATACAAATTTCGATGCCCTACAATGGAGTCTTTCCAGCTTGTCTGTGTTTGCTTTTTTACAAAAGTGCCATATCAACGGACAAAAACTTTAATTTGACATGATAAAAGCATGATACACAGCCTTCCGTTCTTCCAATGTTAAGAACTACCCTATACGCTTCAGAACATTAATTTGCTGTGAGGCCTTTTTGCCCATTTTACCAACATGTTTGTTGAAATTTAATAAAAATTTCTACTCCTAGTAAAATGACAGATTCCTCACATGGTACACTATTGTTGGCTACATAAAAAACAGGTTTCTTTTCGAATGTCGGTTTCCCGACACTCAGAGCTTGGAATTTCTCTGGATATGCTTTCATCTGGTTGTCGGAGAACCATTCAACTAGTGACACGCTTTCTGCTTCCAGAGTTTGTTTTAGCTGCTCGGATGACTATGAAAGAGTGTTGTCATCGGCATAATTAAAGAGGCGTGTTTTGTTTACAAAATAGAATATATCATTTATAAAAAATATTAAAAATTATCTGTCCCAAAATCGAACCCTGTGGTACGCCCTTTGTGATATTTAGAAAAGTACTCGTACTGGTTCCGAGCTGTACGCATTGCTCACGGTTTGAGAGATAGCAGATTGGTGTTACAGCATCTTCCGACAAACTGTAAGCTTTGGGTTTTTCCAGGATCAGATCGTGCTGCAGACAGTCGAGCGCTTTCGATAGATCCATTAAAATAGCAGCTACATGGTCATTTCTATCCAATGCTGCCCGCCATTGCTCGGTGAGAGCCAACAGAGTTGATTGACAACTATACCCAGGTCGAAAAGTGGACAGCATTGGACCACTCAGATAAATATATAAAGTATGTAGAAGTGTAAATATGTAGAAGTTTCACCTAGATGTAAATATAGACGTTTATTTTAAGGAAGGTATTATTTTCCCGACAATTCTGTACAGAGTGAGGAAAAATGGCATTGCGCGCACAACCGTCGGGTACCGAGTGATGAAAATCAATCATAATAATCAAGAATAAAGAATCACTAGGTTTTTTTCTCTTTGCAGTTTGCACTTTTGGCTTTCGTTCAGGTTTTTTTGGCAAACCAGATGCTGACCGAGTTGCACCTTTTGGACGGCCTCGAGTTTTTGCCTTTATTGGGAGGTGCATATTGGGTAGTTCTTTGAACACTTGTGGAAAACTACTGGATGGAATGCATGATGGCATAAGTGATTTGACAGTGTTGAAGTTATTATTCATATCTGGCACTGAAGAAATAAGTTTCAAAGCAGGCAGCTCTGATGGTGCAAGATTCAGTCCGTGAGAAATGGACTGCGGTTGGAAATCAGCAGCTGTTTCTTGAGCAAAGCTTAAATGGTATGATTTCTGATCTCCATCAAATACATGTGCATGTTGTATGCTTCCTGTGGACACATTGGTAAGATCAATGGGTTCATCTTTCATTCCTTCAAAGCACTGCTCTGGTACATCAAGGGGTTCAACTTGATATTTTTTGGTGGGCACCACTGGCTTATCAAGGTTGTCAATGTCTGGTACATGTATTCCTGAAGATACTTCACAAATAGGTGTCAGTGAAACAGGATCAGATTTTGGCTCAGATTTTGTCAGCTCTGCAGACTGTCCGTCCTTTGCTGCGAGGAGACTTCCTTCTTTAACCTCATTGACAATATTTAACTCTTGGCCACTTGTAATGACATCCTTTATCCTTTTCATTTCTGACATATACTGGTCAAACACAGTCTGGCCATGATCTGCCATGGCACTAGCTACATCTTGACACAGCTGAAATGCCTTGGTGTACTTTTCACATCTGTTGAGGATACGATTGCTTTTCAACTTAGTCATAACTGTCACATGATTCTTCTTCAACTCCTCTGCATCGCCAGTGCCACTGCTGCCTGCTACAAAGAACTGGTAATCCTTCTTCCATCGATTTGCCACTAAACCCTCATCAAAAATCTGGATAGATGAATCACATGACTGAGACCTAGCATATGTGCTTGCCAGGTAACATCATAGTAGATGAAAATGTACAGGAACAAGAATCCATGGTGTTATTTACTATACACAAACTTTCACCTTTTGTCACATGGCGGATAGAGTAGCCCTCAGGGACTTTCTCGCATGCATACTGACCCAAGAGGGTTTTCTTCAGTAATGAGTTGGTCACTGATTTAGCAGCATATGGCGTACATTTCGCATAAATATGTTTTGCGGTTTCAGTATATTTGGTGGAACAGTATGAGATGGCAGAGTGCGACAAGAAGGCTAACAAGTTCCTTCTGCCTACTAAAACGAACCAAAACTTCCACATATTTAGCCAATGAGTTCGAGCACTTCATGGTGGCTTTGAGTTTCTGATGAAATGACTCCAGCCTGTTTGTTGTTCGGTTGCCGATCGTTATGCATTGTTTTCTCCAAGCTGACACCCACATGTGCCGACAATTATGCCAGTTTTTGTGTAATACTGTAAGAACTGACTTGTGGCAAGTCCTTTCAATTGTTCATAATATTTATTGTACAGCGCTTCAGTACTGGAATATACAAATTTTTCAAGTAATTCGAAGACTTCATTGCTTTTCTTATTTGCTTACTTGGAAAATGAAGCAGTCTTCTTTTTGAAGGTCTTCGTGACGTGGAACAGACAGAGGTGAATTTTTGATTTTGGGAAGAATTTCTTTATGAGTGCAATTTTGGAAAAATCCTTGTCAACTAAGAACACATGATTTTTCTCAAGCGTTTCCTTATCAACTGCTTTCTGCAAAGCAGTGAATCCATGTTCTAATGTTTCACAGAATTCACCAGCCACGAAGAAATGTGCAACAGGAATGCTGCATCCATGGCCATCTTCCACAATAAACGTAAAAAGTGGCATCCTATAGCTATTAGAGCTGTGCGTCGGATCCGACATAAACCAAAAATCCGATCCGACAGCATTTTTGAAAATCCGAATCCGATGGCTATTTTGAATCCGATCCGAATCCGATGGCAATTTTTGAATCCGAATCCGAATCCAATGTGTATCGCTAAATCCGATCCGAAATCCGACCCGAATCCGGAACATAGAAATTGCAAATAGTGTGACAGCATCGTGTAAAATTCGTGTTATAATTTGTTTTCCAACTTTGGGTTGTTGAGATCAAAGGATGGGGTGAAGGCGGACTGTAGACGTAAGTAAAGTTTGAGAACGGGATGATCTGGAATCTGGAACGATAATTTTGTCATCAAATCGTTACCTCAGTTCTACTTTTACCTTAACTCGAGTTAAGGCCCCGTATAGACGCTTAACTCGAGTTAGCGAATACTACATAACTCCACGATAGGCGGCAACACTAGTACGATGTACGTACGCACGCACGCACGCACGCACGTGTACTTTCACACGCACGCACACACTCATGCACGCACGTGTACGTGCACACGCACGCACGCATGTCTACGCCCACATGCATGCACGCACGCACGCACGTGTACCTGCACACGCACGCA